GTTTTCATATTTTTTTTTTGTCATTTTAAATCAATTTAATGCATCCTTGTTAAATAAAAGTATTAAAGAAACTCAAGAAAAACTTTCTGATCCCAAACTTGTGAAAGGTAGTGTATATAGTGGGTTTAGCATTGAAATGTAATTCATTTGTAAATAATTCACAACCAGATAAATATATCCTAAAAATAAATGAGATGACACAAAAAACATAATCTAGGACACTAACCTGAGCCGTAAACTGACTGCTGGGTAGCGACCACCTCCAAATATGGGCATATTTGATCCCACAAGCATGTGGATGTCCTCAAATGTCCATAAAATATTCCGGACAAAGTCATTCTTCAAACCCTGAGAGAGTCAGAGAGATAAAGAAAAATGCCAAGTTAAAATACAAATAGATATATATTGTGCTGTACAATGTAATTGTGATTTACTTTTATCAATTGAGTAAAAAAAAACTATATATAAAGTAAATGTGAAATTAAAGGGATGTTAAAAATAAAATGACTCGTAAATGTAAGTACACATTGATGGCCTAAGACACGAAATGAACGGTTTGTGTGAGAAAACGAACAGTATTTATATCGTTTTTACCTCTTGTAACCACAGCCACAAAGCCCTCAGATCGCTGTGGTTACAAGAGGTAAAAACAATATAAATACTGTTCGTTTTCTCACACAAACCGCTCGTTTCGTGTCTTAGGCCATCAATGTGTACTTACATTACGAGTCATTAAATCATGTTTAATCTGGACTTCTCTGTGCATGCTCTTTGAGGTGGTGACCATAGACCTCTGTTATGTGACTGACAGACATGAACGGTTTGACCTAAAAATATCAAAATTGAAACTACTGCGAAAACAAAGACACCTACATCTTGGATGCCCTTGAGGTAAGCTAAAACATACCAAAAATGAATTTCAAAGTGAACTATCCCTTTAAATGTTTACACAAAAAGTAAATATCTTAATTAATGAACTTGTGAAGTGTGATATAAATAGGAAGAGTAGATATTTTTCAACAGTGTCATAAAGCCACAACTTGATTTGACTTTGGGTGTTAGGGAATGTTGGGTAAATACCATTACCTGGCTGTTTTCTCCTTCATTGAATAGCGTGGGTAGATTCTGTTCTTTAGGAACTGAAGACACATGACCTAAAGTATATGTATCCACCTGCTCCTGAAAGACACGAGTGGACAGGACGATTCAGCCTCAAACACACTGATAACACATGAGATGAGAAGTAGAGGAAAGGCTGCCCGAACCTCCTTGGGTATTGCAGACTCCTCTGAATCGGTAGTGGAACTGTTGAAGGTGGCGGGCCAAGACGGTCCATCCGCCGCCGTCCCACAACCCTCCTCTGCCGCCTGATCTGTATCTGATGGCACAGGCACCGCAGTCCCATCACTGTTAATACTGAAACACAGGAGAGTACTGTGGGTGTAAGTCATGGAAATCAATGCTTTCATGAGATGATAACTGTGTAAAGTCAGTTCTCACCTGTAATAGAGAAACTTTGAGAGGATGGCTTTCTCATTCCAGTGCTCTTTACTTTTTTTCTTTCTCTGCCACTTTTGGTCAATGAGACGCTGGTAAAACTCCTTCAGCCACGTCCAGTCACCAGTCTACAGGGCGGTTGCAATGTTTGTTTTATTTTATAGAAGTCATCTTAGGAGGGCATTAACACTCTTGTCATGAACAGGATAACTAAATGTTTTACTACTATATAATTCAGTATTTAGATTTTGCCACCAGGTGATGCATTTAGAGGCTCCTGAACAAAAAAATTGTATACCTGTGATGACCTCATGAAGAGTTCCTGAATGTCCAGTTCATCTAGTAGTAAAGTGCTGCCCACTCTGTGAACAGCCATACTGACATGAGACTTACTGTAGGGGATCTTCAGCAACTTCTTGATATTCTGTAAATAAATAAATAAATAATAATAAAATAAATGTATAATAAATAAACAAATAAATATACAGTATATATATATATATATATATATATATATATATATAACCAATAAATCAATACATTCATTTGATAAAAAATATAGTAAAAGCAAAAAAGTGATATATTTCTACAATTTAAGATAACTGTTTTCTATTTTAATATATTTTAAAATGTAATTTATTCCTGTGATGCAAAGCTATATTTTCAGCATCATTACTCCAAATTTCAGTGTCACATGATTCTGAACAAATCAGCCATTTCATATGTTATTGTTTCATTTAAGAAAAAAAAAGAGTTTGCATTCGCAATAAAACAGACTCACCTCTGAATCAGATACAACATCAACATCATCACCTATACAGTCGATGAAGTCGTACGCCATCCCAAAACTACAATCAACAAAGAAAACACGGAAAGATCATCTTTACTAACATTTCAATATGCAAACTCGCATTAAATATAAGGTCCTATTTTATATTAAGGCCTGGTTTCACAGACAGGGCTTAGATTGAGCCTGGATTAATTTGGACATTTAAGTTACTTTTATAAAACGGCCTTAGAAATAAACACGGTGTAAATCTTGAGACAAAACAATAGCACTAACATATTTTAACATATCGCAGTACAAGTTGCTTTCAGTTAAAACAGCTTAAACATGCATTTTAGTCTGGGACTAGCTTAAGCCTTGTCTGTGAAACCTGGGGTAAGTATCTTTACGATGTACTAAGATATAAAATAATCATTTGATACAATGCCCTTATCGTATTGTTTGTTAAATTGTACAATACCTGCATATTATTGCATCAGTAATTAATTTCCAAAATTAAATCTATAATTACACTACTGACCCTTTTATTAAATTAAGGTTTTTGATGAAAACATTCCAGAATTTTTCTCATATAATGGACTTCAATGGGAACCAAAAAGTTTAAGATCCAAAAGAGAGTTTCAGTGCAGTTTCAAAGGGCTTTAAATGATTTCAGACGATGAATAAGGGTCTTATCTAGCAAAACGATCGCTCACTAAAAAAATAAATAACAAAGTTTAAGTTTTATAAGCTCAAATGCTCGCCTTGCTCTGTTCTGTGATGCGCGTTCGTGACTCTCCTGTTCAAACTCGTTCATCAAAATGAACAGATCTTTTTGAGTCAATTCGTTCATTTCGTTTCTTGAATTAACCAAATGACTCGAAAATATATTTGTTCATTTTGATGAACGAGTTCGAACAGGAGAGTCACGAACGCGCATTACAGAACAGAGCAAGGCGAGCATTTGAGCTTATAAAACTTAAACTTTGTTATTATTTTTTTTAAATGAGTGATCGTTTCGCTTGATAAGACCCTTATTCATCGTCTGGAATCGTTTAAAGCCCTTTGAACAGTTTGCAGTTTGCACTGAAACTCTCATTTAGACCTTAAACCGTTTGGTTCCCAATGAAGTCCATTATATGGAGAAAAATCCTGGAATGTTTTCATCAAAAACCTTAATTTCTTTTCGACTGAAGAAAGAATGACATGGACATCTTGGATGACATGATGGGGGTGAGTAAATTATCAGCAAAAGTTTTTTTTAAAAGTGAACCACTCCTTTAAACCTAACCCGTATCTCACCTCACCTTTTTTTATGTAAGTGCATAGTAGTTAAAGACACCTAACATGAAGTGTGACCAAATAACATGTAGCAGTCGTACCTGGAGAAGGGTTTGCTTTTCCTGCTGGTCCCGAGTACGGTGGTCCCCGCGGGGCCCAGGTGAGCGTTCTCTCGCAGCCAGTTTGCAGGTGGCAACTTGAGGTCGGTCTTCTCCTGCAGTAATGCATAGGAGGTGGGGGGTGGAGCGGCCGAGTACTTCACTACCGCACGACTCTTCACTTCATTGTTGCCCAGACAAATGACCGCCTCCTAGAGAAGAAATAACAAATATTTCAAACACAACTATTAGGTTGCAAGTCACCATTCACCTCAGGACTAGACTGATGATGATACAAACCAGACACATTTCCATAATAAACAGTATGCAACCTAAACACACACACACGTGATCAATGCAACTGGACAGTGTGAAATGCAGCTGTCTGTCATCTAAATAGTGTTAGATTGTGATGTTACAGTAAGTCTGGACCTGTTTGTTGTCTTCAGTGGCAGTGCTGCTGTGATCCTCCTCATGTCCGGGATCTGGGTCTGTCTTCTTATCCTGAGAGCTCATATTCACCACACTCATCCATCCAGAAACGACGGTTTACACGAAAGCAACGTCCAAAATACACAACCACCGATTCTTTTCCTAATAGACTGTAAGTGACCACAAATCTGCTTTACAAAGTGCACACATCACATCTACTACAGCACCACACAGCAGACCATGTTGCTTCTTTCAGCAAGTCTTTCGCTATTTTAGCTTAAATATCGATAACACGTCCGTCTGATTAATCGATAACTATCAGATAACAAGAAGATTAAAACAAATTATGTTTTCAAGGTAAAATATGTTGCCTATCATCACCTGGCAGCTTCTCAGTGATCACAAGTTGTTACTGTACCTCTCACCCGGAAGTATACGTGACGTCAGCGAAGCCTTTTTCTAGAAAAGAGTGGAAAGATGTAGAAATGCGTGTTTTTTTTTTTTTTTTACAATAACACTACATATCCCTTAAACACAGTACTATAAATATATTATATATTTCTAATTTACGCTATATATATATATGTGTGTGTAATAAATATTCACACTACATATACGGTTTATTTGTATTACTTTTTACTTAAACAACACATTTTACGTAAACTTACATATTATTAATATAACTACGTTACTTTTTTTGTTTTGTATTATTAGCCTATAATAAATAATTATTTTAATCCACGATATTATTAGGCTATCGGAAGTATTGCATTTTGTATTATAGGGCAATAAATCAATTTTATATATTATTTTTACGTTACTTATTTTATTAAAATGCTATTTTAATCCTCGATATTTCCACACGTTGCATGTTAATATGTATTTGTTGTGATTCTGATCAAGAATAGCGTGTGTGTTCCGTTGCCATGGTTTCAAAATCACTGTGCTCTCACCTGAGTTTACCTACTGAGTTCGTCAGTCAGTGGCGTTTGGGAAAATGTAACTTTTAGTTGGGTGTTTATTTTAAATTCTTGCTGTGACAATGAATAAAGGAGGCAAGAGATATTTTAATAAGAAGCAGAGCGGAAACTGGGTAGGATAACCACACTTGACTTTACTTATGCGTTTGAGCTCTTTTTTTTTTTTTTTTTTTACAATAAAATGTTTCCATTTTACATTTCTTTCTTTCTTTCTTTCTTTCTTTCTTTCTTAGTCCGTCAGTCAGTCAGTTATTCATTTGTCTTTTTTATGTTTTCTAGTTCGTTCACGCTGGTTTGTCTCGGACTGGATGTGGACAGTCACGTGATCTGTGTACGAGCACAGGTTCAATGTTGACACATGGAGTTCCTCAACCCCTGACTCAAACACAGGATCGATATCCCAAATTATTCATCAATTCTGAAAAGGTCAGTCATTGCTATTAAAATAGATTGATATTTTACAGTGCAATGCCCATCTACAAACCACTTGCAGATTGCAAATTGATTTTTTTGGAAATATATTTTTTTTACTTCTTTACTCAGTGCAATTTAATCTGGATTATGTAATCAGATTCAAAAATAAGTTGTACTTGTAAGTAGATTTTATTACATTTTAAAGGAGCCTACAAGTAATTACTTTTTTATTACATGATTATTACATTATTCATCATATTTATTCTACCTTCTAGTCCAGGTCTTTTTTTTATCTTATACATTTTCCTTTTTAAAAAAGCCTATCTTCCAAATCAGATCAGCCACTTAAAACTCAGACCCACACCATATGATCTCTGGATTTACACAAATCATTTCACATTTACGTAACAAGTGTATTCTCAACATTGCAACCTTGTATGTAATCCGCTCCTCCTGCCAAACACATGAATTAGCCTATTATTTGAATTATCACTGGAAGGCTCTTGTCCTTCAAACATATCAAAATGTACAAATTCCCATCATTTCATATTTAGGCCTACATGTAATGCAGGGATTCCTTGAAGCAAGTCATTAGATTTTATGTTAAGTTATAAAATAAAAATAATTTAAAATAATAAAATAAAAAAATCAATTAAATTAACAATAATAATCCATAAATTTAGGTCCATGGTTTTATGATGTCGGTTAATGGTCACATGACATGCAGGTAAACAAATAAAATAAAATGTAGTAAATGTTTTTAAGGTTATTTATTTATTTATTTAAATTAGACATTTTTATGATTTTATTACTTAATAGCTTTTCTTTAAAATCACAAACCCCCTGCAGTTCCTTCTCCTTCTCAAACATCAGTGTAATATTTAATGCACCTCATGATGTTATGTTGTTGATAACCAAGAATGCCATATATTTTCTTTCTCTTTGTATTTTTATATCAATATTGTTATCCTATGCTCAAATCAATGTGATAAATGAGTAGAAAGTAATCTAAAAAGTAGTCAGATTATTTAATGTAATGGATTATTTTTGTCATGTAATCTGGAATCAGTAACCGACTACAATTTGCATCATGCTGATCAATCCAGTCTTTCTGTTGCAGAAAACAATGGGTAGAGAATACCCCTTGTCAGCGCATGATAACCGCACAGCACTGCAAAACACTATACATGTGTATGATCGGGTGAGTTCATCATTACAATAAACAGTGATTCTATATGTTATATTTCATGTCTTTATACTTACTTTATTTCACTTTATGTGTGAAGGGTTTAGGCCGTAAGAAATGTCTTGAAGAGCATCGCCAGCATAACACTCATCTCTGCCATCATTATGACACCTTGAGTCCGGTTAGTGCAGCAGCAGCCCAGTGGGAGAACTCAACTTATCGGACCGACTTCCTGCCCAAACAGGAAACAGAGGGCAGAAAGGACCCAGTCAGAAGGCGCTTTCCCAGAGATCACTCGGCGAGGTCTCAGATGAACGCTAAGGCTCACGCCGGGGAGAGTTTCATGTGGTTTGGAAGGGACGACTCTAACCAGTACACTCCACTAAGTGTACTAGCAGCCACCAACCACTCCCTAACTCCCTAAATAAGACAATCAGAGAAGATCTGACAGTTTATGACACTAAACATGATGCTCTGGGCGGGGGAATTTCTGAGAGGCTGCTCACTGCAGAGCCATGGGTGGAGCGTGAAGTCCTAGATGTAATTTGGGAGCTAGAAGGTCCAACCACACCACAACCCTACCCATAACTCTTTCCCTCCACCCATTAGATCCACAGAGGTGGAGCTGGGCGTCTTTGTCTCTGCAGTGAGTAGCACCACTTGGAATTTCCTGGCAAGTGTCATTTTCTGATTTTACCAGCAGAGGTCAGTCTCTCTTTTTTAGTCTGTCTGTGCCACTCAACTGGCATCATTCAACGTTATATTTGCAGTGTTACACATTTTGACATGTTTCATTCTGTAAAGAAGAGCATCAGTGTTGAATGCATACCGTATAATAAGAAAAAATAAACATTTCCAGCCCAGTCTTATTTACCCATTTTTTTTTAAATATAGAATATACACTCACCTAAAGGATTATTAGGAACCCCATACTAATACTGTGTTTGACCCCCTTCCGCCTTCAGAACGGCCTTAATTCTACGTAGCATTGATTCAACAAGGTGCTGAAAGCATTCTTTAGAAATGTTGGCCCGTATTGATAGGATAGCATCTTGCGGTTGATGGAGATTTGTGGAATGCACATCCAGAAGCTCCCGTTCCACCACATCCCAAAGATGCTCTATTGGGTTGAGATCTGGTGACTGTGGGGGCCATTTTAGTACAGTGAACTCATTGTCATGTTCAAGAAACCAATTTGAAATGATTCGAGCTTTGTGACATGGTGCATTATCCTGCTGGAAGTCATCAGAGGATGGGGACATGGTGGCTGTAAAGGGATGGACATGGTCAGAAACAATGCTCAGGGAGGCCGTGGCATTTAAACGATGCCCAATTGGCACTAAGGGGCCTAAAGTGTGCCAAGAAAACATCCCCGACACCATTACACCACCACCACCAGCCTGCACAGTGGTAACAAGGCATGATGGATCCATGTTCTCATTCTGTTTACGCCAAATTCTGACTCGACCATCTGAATGTCTCAACAGAAATCGAGACTCATCAGACCAGGCAACATTTTTCCAGTCTTCAACTGTCCAATTTTGGTGAGCTCTTGCAAATTGTAGCCTCTTTTTCCTATTTGCAGTGGAGATGAGTGGTACCCGGTGGGGTCTTCTGCTGTTGAAGCCCATCCGCCTCAAGGTTGTGCATGTTGTGGCTTCACAAATGCTTTGCTGTATACCTCGGTTGTAACGAGTGGTTATTTCAGTCAAAGTTGCTCTTCTATCAGCTTGAATCAGTCCGGCCCATTCTCCTCTGACCTCTAGCATCAACAAGGCATTTTCGCCCACAGGACTGCCGCATACTGGATGTTTTTCCCTTTTCACACCATTCTTTGTAAACCCTAGAAATGGTTGTGGGTGAAAATCCCAGTAACTGAGCAGATTGTGAAATACTCAGACCGGCACCAACAACCATGCCACGCTCAAAATGTCTTAAATCACCTTTCTTTCCCATTCTGACATTCAGTTTGGAGTTCAGGAGATTGTCTTGACCAGGACCACACCTCTAAATGCATTGAACTGCCTTGTGATTGGTTGATTAGATAATTGCATTAATGAGAAATTGAACTAGTGTTACTAATAATCCTTTAGGTGAGTGTATATATACAATATTGCAGTATTTATGATAGTATTATGAATTCAAATCTTAATCTTTGATCAAAATAACTCCCCTCCCTCTTTCAATGCTATCTCTTCTCTAATGATGCGCGAGGGCAGGGCAACCTGTCACTCATATGACATCCACCAATAGCAAACCACACAACCCTCCAAATAAAGTCCCGCCCTACATTTTTTTCCTGTTTGAGAAGCCGATTCACTCATATGTCGCAATAGGGAAGAAAAGACTATCACAACTTCCATTTTATGCTGACTTTAACCTTTTCTTAGCCTATAAGAATTAATAATGTTTCATAAAAATAGCTGCTATGTGAGATTACTGATGTCTCTTTTCGCGTAGAGATCTTCACAGAAATGCTATAGAGATCTCCTCCTCATGGGAATATTTAAAATTAAACGGCCTTTTAATGTGGCATCTTATGTGGTTCAAAGTGAGAAACGGGTATTTGTGGGGATATAAGTGTAAAAAGCTCAGTGACGTTTGGGCTAAAGATTAGTATCCTGCCTTTGAAAGAGATTAAACAGTGAGCGGCGTTACATTATCTCAGCTTCAAAGAGAGTCCGTAAGATTGCCATCTTGCATTTGAAACGGCAGCTGTGTTGCTATATGTGCGCACCTGGAAAAGAGCAACGAGGAGAATCCTCTGTGGGCTTTACAGATTTCCTTCAAAAATGTGTCCAGATAGCAGAAACACTGGGAGAGATATTGAGGGATTTGCTCCTCGTTTTTTAGCCCCATTCTGGAATGCAATCCAAGAAAATGACATCCAATTAAGTATTTATTTATTTGATGGTAATGAAGTTTTACACATTACATTTCCTTCATAACCTATTCATGAAAGATAAGACATGTTGCCATGGTGATGATGGCACAGAGAATTCTCTTAACATTGTCTGTTCTGTTAATATTACTATATTAATATTCTGTTCTGACTTACTCTGGTTCTGGGCAAGCCTTGGTTTTCCAAATGTACATTGATCTTGATATTATTTGTCTCTGTGTTGCTGTTTATTCAAAGCTCGTCGCAATTCTATGTTGAAAGACATGTTGAAAAATAGATTGCTGGACACAAGCTGATGGATTTGAATTGAATGCAGAATAACCCGGTTGAGATCAAAGACCTGCATCTCATTGAGATTCATCTTTTATCGCACTGCCACTTTAAAGGTCCCGTACACACCAACAACCATCTGAGTTGAGCTTAAAAATAAACGTGTTTCCTTCATAACAGGAAATATTAAAGTTTTCAATATGGTCACATTTCCGCGTGGGAACTAATGTTTTAACCGTCAAAAAATCATGAAAGGATAGTCGGATGTCAAGGTACATTAGAATGCATTATGAGTTAATAGACTAGATTAATCAGCATAAATCATTTCTGAATAAGAGCCTTAACTTAATTCCAACCTAATCGCTTCATTTCACTGGCCTCATTATAATTAATTTTGCCAGGTATTGAATTAATGAAACAGTCTGGCGTGTTTTACATGAGAGGTCAAGACAAATAACGTGGTCCATACCGTTCTATCTGATTAAATAATTAGTGCATATTAACAATCTAATTAGCCTTTTTTTTCCCAAGACAAGTGTAAGCAAATGCTTCTTTGTAATGTAGAAATTAATTCAGTCCGATGTTACATTACAATACGTGTGTGATCTGCTGTACACTATCAGAAATAAACGGACTAAAACTATCACTGGGGTGGTAGGCTACCCTTTCAAAATGTAGGCTACACCTTTGTACCTATAGAGTGCATAACTTAAAGTTACATTGTTTCCTATATGTTACACTGTAAAACAATTGTTGTTGGTTAGTGGTTAAAGGGATAGTTCATCCAAAAATGAAAATTCTGTCAGTGTTTACTCACCCTCATGTTGTTCCAACCCCGTAAGACTTTCGAAGACTTTCATTTTTGATGAAATCTGAGAGCTGGATCACTCCTCCATAGGTTTCTTGAGGGATTGAAACTGGCCGGCCCCGAAAAGTTCTTAAAGACATCGTTAAAATAATCAAAGTGACTACAGTGGCTCGATCTTAAGTTTATCAAGCGACGAGAGTACATTTTGAGCGCAAAACCCCCCCAAAAATAACGACTTTATTTCAACGATTCACTTGTGGGCCTCTAGTCAGTTAACGTAGTGTGATAGCGTAGAGCTACGTCACGCTTAGGCTCACTATTGGCCAACGCTGGTCATGTGTGTGATGCGTGTGACGTACAACAACAGAATCTGTTAAACTAGTGAACTCACTCGACAGACTGATCTCATGAAATGGCGTATGAATGACACACCAATTCGTATTTCCATTTTTTACTTGCTATCAACACGCATAATCGCTTTTTATGAACGCTGTGTTTATTAAGCGTGTTTATGAACGCCGTTGACTCAACGTTACATTACTGTATATATAAATATATGACCTACCCCGACCACGCCCCTAAACCTACCCGTCACTGGGTTTAAAAGCATTTATGAGTCTTTCCCTACCATCTTAGAGAAAAAAAAATATCGCTCCCAGATGTAGATCTACATTTTGCTTCGTTTCGCTCGGACATTTAACGGCGTGTATGTACACGCGGAATCACTCGAACATTTAACGATACACGCATACATGCGGATTCAAGCGGATAGCTCAAAATGCGTATAGATAATGTTTACGCAAAAGTCATGATGTCATGTTGCACTCGAGGCCCACAGAGAAGGAAATGAATAGTTGAAATAAAGTCGTTATTTTGGGTTTTTTGGTGCACAAAAGCACTCTCGTCGCTTGATAAACTTAGGATTGAACCACTGTCACTTGGACTATTTTAACGATGTTTTTAATAACTTTTCGGGGAACAAGTTTCAATCCCTCAAGAAGCCTATGGAGGAGGGATCCAGTTCTCAGATATTATAAAAAATATCTTAATTTGTGTTTCGAAGATGAACGAAGGTCTTACGGGGTTGGAAAAACATGAGGATGAGTAATTACTGACAGAATTTTCATTTTTGGGTGAACTATCCCTTTAACTTAAAAATTAAAGTCCTTCTGTCAATCATTTTATCCCTTAAAACTCATCTTTGATCAGCAAAATTACATATTTAAGCGATTTCCCCCCCCAGAGATACACTTGTTGATGATTACATGGTAACGTGATTGCTTACAAGGTTGTTTGTGACATCAGAAACACTGACGATTTCAAACTGCTTTTTTGAAACTGTATTTTGTTCACTGCCGTTTAAGGAGAAAATACTCAGCAATGGTGTTGACTTGTCAATTTATACATGGTTTGTCTTAAAGCATGTTAAAAACACAACATAGACATATAAACAATATTTTCACCACAGGGGGGAGTGTAAGTTACCTGGTTGGGTACTTTAAAATTTTGTTGAGTTAATACTAAACTCTAATAAAATCTCCTTTGGTGTAATAAATAGAAACTTAATAAATGATGTTTGCACCACATGAATTATCTAAAGTGTACATAGTATACACAGCTGTCTCTGACAGCTTTTGTTGCATTTTTTTTTCTGAGATCGTACTTTTGATTTCCATTATTCATATGGCAAAATCCGGTTATGTTTTCTCCTAGTCGACAGCATCTTTCCCTTGACACTGTTATTGTGAGATATCACTCACTGTCGCCTCTCAGCCGCACATCCTTGTTTTTCAGCTCGGCCCTGTGATAACTCTGTCTAACCTTGAGAAATGGCTGCAGGAGACCCGGCACACACCAGAATAAACCTTCTTAGTGATGAAATA